ATCTCTAAAAGTGCTTACAGCCAATCAGAAGGCTTATAAACCATTTTTAAAGACAAGTTTATCGATAAAATGGATTCAAAATATAGACCTTCTCTAGTTTCTCTCATTTTAACGTTCAATCGTATGCTGAACCTGTTTTAAGCGCAGCATCGTGCAACTGCGAGGAACAAATTTGGCGGGAGATTTAGCGCGCGTGGTGCGCAGAAAATCTGCGCGGAGCGATTTTTCTTTTTTCAAACACGTCATATTTGAAATTCATTGTCGCTGATTATCGTGCCATTCAATGCAGAGGTCACGTCTGATCATGTCACATTTTGCTTACTGAAATTCATTTTTCGGAATGCTTTCGATCAAATTTCGATAAATGGAAATTTTTCATTTTTAACTGCTTAAACAAAATTTTAATTATACAACTTATATGACTATGTAATTATACAATTTATTTTCAATCTGATTCTTTTTTTCAACACAATGAAAGATTAATAACTTTACTTACTTAATCAAATATTAAAAAAATTTATTATTTCTGGTCTTTCTTTCCTTATCAAATTTCTACATTAATAATGAAATTCAATTAATTTGATCGATAAATAATTCAACTAATGAAATTTCTAATCACATTTTGTTTATATATTATTTAATTTTTTTTTTTTTTAATAGACTCGCTGATTAAATTAATCGCAATTTGATCGGAATCTCTCTCTTATTTAATTTGATATTTATACCAGTTGCTTTATACACATCACGTGTAAAATATATGAAATACACGCGACTCTCTTCAACATCATTGTTACGCATTTACCGATTCGCCCGTTTGTCCATTTTTACAAACATAAATAAAGATGCGAGAAAAGTATTCACAGGAGAGGGGGATATTGACGTATAAAAAAATTCCGACTGCGTTTAAATTTTCTTTATTAAAATCTCAACTCTAGAAACAACGTAGAGATATGAACGCTCGCGATCGCCGATCTTCGCTCGAGCCACGCGAGTTTTCGGATCGAGTAAACAATCTCAGGGTTCAGTAATAGGTAGAGCCTTCGATTTTTCAACGGATTTTTTATAATTCAAAAACTTAAAAATAAATATCTCCATAATCTAACGTACATATATGTGATACTTTCGTTCAACAGTTCGATAGGACTATCGTATGATGTATATATATAGCTAGACTTACAAGCGCCGTTTGCGCGGCAGTTGATCAGAATCGGGTAAATACGGTAAAAAATACTGCGTGGGTGAGCGCGCGTGGTAGAGATACCGTAAATGAGAAGAGTTTTACATCCGCTTTTTTTTCCTTTTTTTTTTTTTTCTTTTCTTTTAAATATTGCCTACACATGGGATTTACGACGACAGACCTCGCATACACCTTCGGTTCGTGTGCCCCGAGAGGGAACACGCGATAAAACAGTTAAATAATTCGCGCACACGCCTCGATACCTCCGTAACTCTTTACTTTCATCTCTTTTTTTTCTCTCCCCTCCTCCCCCTCCCCTCCCTTTTTGTTCCTTTTCCTCTTTCTAAGGCGCAGGTCGAATCGTATATCGAAACATATAAAACAATTCCACACGCTGCAAACTAACTTACAGTTTAAGATACGCGACGACGGAGGGGGAGGGGGCGGAGGGGGGGGGGACCCTCGCGAAATCGTATGTCTCGGAGACATTACAGAGAGAGAGAGTCATCACATTTTCACGTATTTTGGCGTGTTTCCGAAAGACTCGCGCGTCATAATATTCCGCGTATTGACCGTGCACGTATAGATTTAATAACTAGTTTTAGAAGAGAGTTTTGTCGCAAGCGTAGCGCTCGTTTGTGTGTGTATTGCTTTGGCATCATAGTCGGTGCAGTTCGTACATTTCGGCGATGTGCTGCGTGCCTAAAAAAAGACAAAGGATCAAAAACACCATAAATCTCGCGGAGGTAAGACCGATTCGCTGATGCTGAATCCGTCCGTGAATGAATTTGGAAGTCGGGAAATGTTCTACGTTCATCTAGCCGTAGGTATCCGAAAACGACATCCCACACGGCGTACGGTCTGCTCTGTCAAAAATGTTCATCAAAAATTAACAATCACGCGTGTGTCCCGACTTATGTGAACTAAAACGGCAAAAGTAAGTAACACTTCACCTCATCAAGACTCCCAAATTATTGACGAACGGCATGGAATTCGTAAGCATTTAAATCTCGTTAGAGCATAGAGTTCGCGTTCAACTGCGGCGTTCAATCGCGGCGTTAATCCGATTGGAAGGACCAAATCGCAATTTTCTTGGTCCTTTTTTTTTGGTCTTTTTATCAAATTTGGGAGTACGCTTCATGAGGTTTACAACAACGTTCGATGCTGTGTACACAATTAACACGACACTTTTCTAACGAGATTTAACTGCAGTAAACTGAGTCATATGAGCGTAAGAAGAAGATTATTTTAGGCCTAACGTAAATATTATAAATTGCTTCGTGTATAAGTACGTGCTCTGTAACAAATGATAAATATGTTATAAACATCATCCTGAGCCAGTCAAATTCAATTTGCAATTATGGCCGCGGTATACCTGTACCGGGTGAACAATTACTATTTTTTTTTTTTTTTACTTTAATCATAACATGTCTATTATATTTATATACATATTGTGCGTTTCAAAATATATATTTATATTCCTTGCTATCCTGTTCGGAATTAGAAAGATAAATATTTCCATGTGATAAATAGTCCACAAGAGAATTACCCGATATATAAGAATTAACTTCAATTCCTTTGTCCTCTTTAGAGAAGGAATAACAAATTTCGCCGTTAAATTTCACCGTTCAGCAAACACGTTTTATTTTCTTCATCTTTTATAACTTTTTTTTATTTTTCTGTTAAAATTTATTTATTTTTAAGGAAAATAGATCAAGATATACGTTTTTCACTGAAAAGGATAATAACAGCTCAAAAAACTTCGTTCGTTATATTTCTCTTTATATAATTTCTCGATAAAAGAGTTAAAAGTCAACATGTAAAATACTCAAAAGCTCTGTCCCTGAAAGCGTTATTCCGGGGTAACTTGGTCCATAGGATAAGATTGTATTACGCTAAGGAGATCTATTATAGTTGAGTACTTTCTCACAGGTGAACGAAAGGTGCACCTGATAATTTTACAAACATCCAATCTCGGGCATCTACACAACAGCTATTTAGGAATCGATACATATAAATATATATATATACGACATTCTATAGATAATTCATCTAAGACGATAAGATTCATCTAAGTAGATAATTATAGAAAGAATATCGTCAAAAATGTAGGAGGTCGTCAACTTTCACAAAATTTTCATAAAACATAGGCCAAATTTTCACTAGATTGTGTATTTCTCATTTATCTAAATTCACAGAACAAGAGAGTTCACTCAGATAAAAATTACTATTTATATGCGTATTAATCCGATATATCGTTTGCATATTTAATATTTAGAGATATACACTAAAACTATGAAATTAGTTTGTCTTCTTCCTAAAGCGATAAACTATATAAATTATATCAACAATCTAAAAAAATTCTTCAAACAATTTGATGAAGAGCTAACATCGATATCAACATGACATTAACATCTCATTCGTTTCTTTCATTATTGTACTAATAGATTTTTTTTTATACAGATTTATTTAGATTCTCACCGAGCACCTGGTAGGAGATGACGCAACATAATTTATCGTGCTTAAACTGCGTGCTGGAAAATGCACGTGCCATCACTTTTAACAACTTAAAATCGCGATTCAATTCCAGACGTTTCATTATTCTTTCAAAATATAGCCACAAATATAGCAGAGATAAAATATAGCCACTCGATACTTCATCGTCTATGTCGCGTTTGCGGTGTAGTCCGGTCGTGTACTCCGGTCACTTCAACGAGACATTGCCTGAGAGTGCATCGTGGTGAAGAAACAACGCAAGAGTACGTACCCATCGATACTTACGACAAATAATACCACCCCGGAAATATTCGTTCGTTTTAAAAGCGAAGCGTAATGATAATCACCGAGATCGATCGAAAAGAACTTTTAGGTCCCAAATGTATCGCGCGAATGAACGAGGACGTCCGTGGCGGCCTGACTTTACTCGTGTGTGTGTATGTATGTGTGGGGCGAGGTTATAAGTACGTCTCTGAAAATTCAACATCAGAAGCGGAAGCGCGAGAAGATTTTGTACAAATGGAAATACCCCCACCGATAGCACTGTCCGACGTTCCCTCGCCGGTCGGATAGTCAGCGATGATGAAGGACTGCTTGGGCTGACCTTGCCTGCAGCGACTCGTCGTACCTTTCAGGGCGTCGCGTTCAGCCAGCTTCTGCTTGATGGTCAGAATCTTTTCCTCCTTCTGAAATGCACATGGATGGAATATGCGGGAATGATGAGAAAATAACGTACAATACCGCACGCTAAAAGCAGAATAAAAATGCAACGCGCAGATTTGACTTTTGACGTAGATTTAAATGGCATTAAGCAGATTTAAGTAGATTGTAGTTCATTTATCTGTCAGAAATAAAGTGGTTATTTCTGACCGTAATATTTTTTTCGAATATCTAAAGCGTAAGATTCTTAAATTTTCCAACATTCCAATATTCCATCAAAATAACAAAGATAAAAATTGATAAAAAGAAGAAAATTTCAAAATTCTGTCTAAGAAAAAAAAAAAGATATTAATTTAGAAAATAAAGATGGTCGAAAATGATCACTCAGCATGCTATTTTTAGCATTAAACATTCGCATTGTAAACTGAGCCTACTTTATGAGCTTACTTAAGGGAAATTTCATTTTTCCAACGTCGACATTTTATTCTTACCGCGGCGATGAGTTTTTGAAGCTCGTCGTTCTCGTTGAGCAACTTCTGATATTTCTCTTCCTCCTCCTTGGATACCGCACCATCCGGATTATATCTCGACTCAGACTTGTCTCTGGGATGCCTGATCACTTCGATGACCTTCGGCACGAAGATGAGCGCCATGCTGAGGAAGCAACAGAAGATGGTCGCCAGTGCCGAAAATGCATAACTCGCGTCCTGCTGGCTAGAGATCACCATTACCACAGGTACCGTTATGAGACATAGAACTACGATATTATATATCGACATTCCCACATATCTGGAATCATTGATCAGTTTGATTTTGATGCTTCTCGTCTCGTAAGATAGAAAGAGCCCGAAAGCAAGGACAATGCCTTTGTAACCGTAGATCAAGCCTGGAAGAGATATTCACAATTACGATTTTCATCATAAAGTGCATCAAATGCATAAAATTATGTCGGTTCGCGTATGAAAAAAAAAAAAACCTTTGTACCGCGTTGCTCTTTGAACCAAGAGTCGCACTCACCGAGCCACAGACTGTTATGTTCGCTCTCGCAATGCTCCAATTCGGGTTTGATCATTGCGTCCTCGTCTCCGAAAGGAGGCAGTTCCAGCGAGAAGGTCTCGATCCTTCGACGTAACGGATCAACCACCTGCCAGGTGACGAGGAGGATGATATCCACCGACAGCAATCCGCCCAGCATAACGTACAGCTTCCACGGCTCAATCTTCTTCTGTATAGACGAAACTTTTTGTTTAGCCGTCAATGACTAAAAGGAATCGAGAATAGGTTAAAGATGCGGGACATACGAGCGGGAACAGCAAACCATGCAGGATGGTTCCATCTTCGTGAGAAACTAAAAATCAGTCTCGTTACTAGTGAGGAACTCAAGGGGAAAAGCGGTACGATTGTCTTCGCGGGGGGTGCCTGGTGAATGAAAGGAAGGAGGCAGAACCTGGCTTCGGAACCTGTTTCGTCTCGCGATGCATCTCGCGAATATTCCAAAGATCACTCGTACCGCTTTACCAACGGAGACTCAATTACCCGCAGTCAGAGTTTTGCGACTTACTTTTCCTTGATCGGCTTTCGCCTTCGTAGAAAGCCGATGGACCCTCCACACCTTGCTAAACATGGCACCGAACGCGAGGGTGAAGCCGACCGACATCGTCCACGCTCTGGCTTGGCAGATGATCAAAAACTGCCACGGCGTCACGAACCTACCGTCAATTCCTATACACAGCACCGCCAAGAAGCAGCCTATTATTCCCACCAGCATTATCGTGTTCGCGGTGGGATGAGACGAATATATAACTCTGAAAAGTAGACATCGGTCGGGTGTATAGCTATCGATTGTAGATTGCAGCCCGGCTCGATGCTGGTATATGTATCAGATAACGTATTAACGAATGCAGCACGATATAGTATACATATAGTACAGTATAGTGTACCTCCGGTGCCTATTATAGACGTTAAATACGATCAATCCGATGGCTATCACGATACCCAGCGCCGACAAGGTCGCCATACTTATGAATAAGGGCAGTGACACCGTTCTCAAAACGGTTCTTATTATCGTTCTGTCCTGCGGCACCTTGCCGCCGATCCATCGCTCCACGTTACGCCACGTCAGGTTGTCACTCTGCGTATCATAATATCCTAACTTGACGTACTTCCCGTCGATCACCTGCTCGATCTGCGTCAGAGCGATCCTGTCGCCCTGCGAGCTGAACGCCACGTAACCCTGCGGGAAAAAGGATCTTAACATCGGAAATTGCGGAACGAGAAATCGACGACTAGAATCCAGCCGCGTACTCTACGTACGGAAACTCCGAGGAACTGGGTCGAGTTTACCGCCGCGTATATCTCGTCGGCGATCTCTTTGTTGTCGTAAGTAAAGTTCTTCAAATTCTTCCCCATCTTGCTTAGCCTTTCCATAGTTCTGTTGAACGCTGATGGCAGAGACAGAAAAGGAGACGAGCCCGGTTAAAAAAAAACGATCAATCGTCAACCCTCCCCCGAGAAAAACTCACCCAGAGCGACGGACCAGACGGCGTCGTAGGCGAGAGGCGCCTCTTGGTATCCTTCCGGATATCGATTGTTGTCTATGTCGTAACCCTCGTCCTTCAGCTGCTGGTTCAATCTCTTTCGAAAGTCCTCGGCGGTCATGCCGCTGATTGTCGTGTCGTTATTCTGATTCCACATGAGGGCCTCGGTGGTCAAATGTCCCTCCGCCGCCATACGCATCTGCTCCTTCGTGCAGGCGATGCCCTCCCTCTCCAGGTTGATCTCGAACCAGTCGTCCTCGTACCAGCCGATGAAGAACCACACGTAGGACTGGCCGTACAGCTTCTGATTGTAAAGCTCGCAGAGAACCCGTCTCGCGGCTACCACGTAGAACAGGCCGACGATTATCCGCGCGTCTTGACGCCGTAGATTTTTCACCGCGTCCGTGGGATCCGACAGGAAGCTCTGGCGAGTGACTATCTCTATCCCGGCTTCCTTACACCGCGCTTCTAGATCTTCAACGGTCTGCGATAATTTCAGGGATCAGACATATTCTTTGTACTACGGGGATGATTCTTTACGTAAAGGACGAATATTAACCCTCCTTAATCCGACCCAGCTTGCTTTCAACAATAAGACAGACAGTTATACAAGTATATAAAGGTATATTTTCTTAAATTTCTTTATCAAAGTGTTGAAAGTCTGTTTCGCAAATCTGGGGAGGGGAAATTTTACTTCTTTTATTTTTAATCTTTTAAGTTTTAAAGTTTACAAGTTTTTTTTAAAAAAATTGTAATGGAGATGATTTTAAATAGGGGCTGTAGATGTAAAAAAAGAATATCAAAAGAGTCAAGTCGAGTCAAATGTAAAAATCTCGACTAAAAAAACGAAAATAGGAGGAAAATTTTAATTTAATAAAAAAAAGGGAAGCTACTTCAGTTTCTCTTCGAGAAATGAAAAGATAAGCGGAATGCGGATTTTGACCTTCTTACCGATATGAACACCTCTTCGGCTTGCTGGAGTATCGCTACCCGAGACCAACCGAATTTTTGCAACAGTTTGATTCTCGTGGGGTTGTGCACGGTGGCGGAGGGATGCGTCCTGAACAGGGTCGGGAATCGATTTCGATCGGACAACGCCGGCGAGGATGCACCGTAACAGAGCTAAGGGACAAACGTCGGCAAATGGCCTTCATATTTTCCTTTTATTTTTTTATTTTCTTTTTTTTTCCTACGATATACACGATCGCGAGATTCGCGCGAACGAGAAAAAAGTTTCGGATAGGAGAAGGTAGATACTCACCACCACCAGGTTCCACATCTTCGCCGCCTCGGCGACCGTAGTGCAAACCGTGCTGCACCCGGCCAACAGCATTAATTTATACGGTGGAAAGTATAGTAAGTTGTACATCACGGATGCGCCGAGGCCGGGCTCGCACTGAAATGCAATAAATTACAGAGGGTAATTTCATCGCGAGGCGGCGGCGGCGACGGCGGCGGCGGCGACGACGACGACGACGACGACGACGACGACGACCATCGTTCGCCATTATAATGCCATTAAACGCATCTTCGTGAGTTTACCTCGCTATCGTTGGAATGGAGGTGCAGCCTATATCCGCGTAACAAGTTCTTTTCACGATTAACGTCCTCTAAGGCCAGGCGAGCAGCTGGCATGCAAGCCTGTTGAATAAATGATAATGCAATTCAGCTTGATTAACCCTCTAATTTGATGAGTCGGCTTGCATGCGGGGGCGAAAGCCGTTTCGTGCACGGCTTTCGCCCGCGACTGAAAATTCCAAAGTACGCAGAAGGGACGCGATTGCGGCATTATAAATATTTAAAATAAAAAGCGTTAAATTTTTTACACTCAAATAACAGAAGAAATAGAAGAATATTCATAAAAGAAATGGAAATAGATCTTCAAGGCGTATTGCGTTTTATCTGAAACGCAATACGCCTTTCATTTGTATGAAGTTTATATTAAGTTATAAAAATTTCACTAAATTAAAAAAAGTTATAAAATATTTTTCTATTCAAAGACTGCTAATTTTTTTTGATAAATTTTCGGGAGAATTTTTCGAAACATTTCGGTAAATATTAATTTACCGAGATTTTTCTTTATGCATTTGTTAATTTTACGCGTAAAATATTTATTATATTAGTTAATTTTTAATTAACAAAAAAATAAAGTAAGTATACGGCATCATAAAAGAGTGTCGATTATTTTTGTAAACTTACAAACGCGTTTGTTGATTTAACAAAAGTATCTCGCTAATGAATGCTTCACAGAACTTTCTACGTTACAGATAATAATAATAATCCGGAAGAAAATACGTCTCGTACAACGAGAAAACTAGGGGAGCGATAGCAGACTGACAACTTTCCGATTGTTATTATTATTATTATTATCGTTTCGCTGTAAATCCAAGAGTTTTCGCCGTTTACAGAGAAAATGCGTGATCTTATTAGATTCGCTGAGAATCTTTTACTGGATCCCGCGAAATTCACCGGATTTAAGAACGCATTTTCCAATCGATTTCGTCGATTTCGAACGTGCAGTAAGGAAAAACATTTCTCTTCCCCTCGGCAGTAAACTTCTTCGCGTTCACGAAGGAACTTCGGGAATCTGATCTCTTGAAAGTTTCGAAACGACACGCGAAGTTTGTCGGAAATTTTACCCGTGCTGTCGATGTCACAAGGTCGTTCATCGAACAATTCGCGAGCAAACGAAAGGCAGTAGACGGGAGGAAACGAGGGTGGCTGCAAGCAATCGTGATATCGCGTACAACAATCTGTCTTTCTTCGCAAATACACGTCCCGAGACACGACACGACATGTGTTATCAAATGTATGATGCTACCGCCACGAGATAAACAGAAAGAAGATATTCGTAAATTTGATTGAGTTTCTGCAAATGTTTTAACTTTCGTAAAAGAAGTAACTTCACATATTCTGAATACATTGTGATAAAAGTGATTTAAATGTGGCCAATTAGCTTCTAAATCACTTTTAGAGGCATTTTTATCGATAAAAGTGAGTTGAGAATACGGACTATAATTACGGGCTTGTATCTTCATCAATTTATTTTATCTTCGTTTAATATTGAATTTGGCTTTTGAAAGATTCAAGTAAATCGATAATTAATTCTGAAATACACCATTGCAGCGTTAAGTACTCAATTTCATTTTATCACTATTTAATTTCACAAAGAGAAAAAAAATATAGCGACTTTATAGATCGTGACATTTTCTTTTCGTCTAAAATAAAAAGATTCGTCTCGACAGTAGAAATCATAAAATTGTGGAACACAGTTTTAGAATCGTCTAGACGAAAGTGCAGTTATAATATGTACATATCTCGGATGTAAGGTCGCAAAGTGATATAAAAATCGAAAAAACAAAATCTTTTTTTGAAGAAAATTAAAGGAAGGCACAACCATAGCACAGTCATCGTAATACATTCTGCAAACATGGATATTCTCCTAGCAATTTTTTCATCTTTTTTAAAGATTTGCCATTTGCGTATTTGTATTAAAAAAATAAGAAACGTAAGCAAAACATAGAGAGTGGGTGCGGCCTATAAACAAGGAAGAGCTAGAATTTTTTTAATAACTTGGTCCCCTGAAATCTATGAAACAAATCACGAGGAATTTTTAAGGATGTATTTCTCAACTTAATATTACGGAAGGAATTTCATCGTTCTCCTCAACACCTTTTGGCACAGCGTTAGATATACGCGATAACTTTGCGCGCTCGCGGGTTTACTTATCTGCCCAGTGATTGGTTCGTCGTAATAGTTGCAAAAATAGGAATTGGATCAACTCGAACGACTGCGACTGCGATTGCGTTGCGACTGGAAGTAACCTTCCAAGCGACTGTATGACAGTATCTTATAGTGAATTTTACAATACAATTGTAAATATAATTGAGAATATGTCACAATACAACATAGAATATGCTTTACAATATAATACAATAGAAGTAACTTTATCATTTCTATTGTAGACGACCCTTATAATACCCTTATAATGGACGCGAAAGAACGCTTTACAACGTTGTCGATCAAATGTCCGGCTAAGCAAGAGCTCGCCTCTTTGACGTCTTAGCGATTTTTGCGGTTGCATTTTCAGGAGCAAAGGGAGGATCACGTCGAGGGGTTCCTCTTACCTGGCCGCCCTGCCAGCCGCCCTCGCCGGCGATGGGAAAGATACCGCCGATGTGCAGGACGTTCTCCTCCTCGTAGTCGGGCGGTAGCGACGCCTCGGTCCAGAGCGCTGTCATTAAAGTGACAATTAAGCCCAATAACATCGCGCATTGTCGTGGAAGGCCGCTCGCCATTCCGCCAGCAGCGTCTTGCTCTCGCGCGCGCTCGCTAAACCGTACGTCTCTCTCTCCCCCCTCCTTACCCTCTCTCGCTCGCTCGCGCTCTCTCTCTCTCTCTCCCTCCCTCTCTTTAGTTCTTTTCTACGACATACCGGGTGTAGTGGGACACGTAGTGGCAAAATCGGTGGTGTGCAGTGTCGTTGAGAAAGCGCTCACTGCCATCGTCCTCGCCCGATCGACCTCGTCGCTCGACTAATCGAACACCCTCTTTCTGTCTGTCTATCTCTCTCTCTCTCTCTTTCTCTTTCTTTCCCTTCCCTCTTTCTCTCTCTTTCTTTCTCACCCACTCCCTCTTTCGGCGTCGCGACGTTGCTGCGCGCGCGTTCGATCGCCCGCGAATCTCCTCGCGCGAACGTCACTCTTCTCTTGCGTCCTTCGTTCCTTTATTTCCCCTTTTCGTACGTTTCTTTATTTTTACTACTTTTTCTTCTCTCTCTCTCTCTCTCTCTTCTTCTACCTTTCTCTTTTTCTTTCGCTGCGATCGACCAAAATCAATTCCGAAGCACAGTTCCCTTTCTCGTCTTTCGAAGTTTCCTTCGTTCTTGATTCAATCCGTCGCAGATTCACATTCTTCCCCGAGACGTCTCCCCCGCGATCCTCGCACTTCCGGAGATAAAGGAGACCGGGACTGAGAGTGAAACACCCGCGAGTGAAGCACTCGCCGACGTTCCGCCGTTCTCGCGCGGGTTACTCGTCGCGCGCGAGTGGCAGCCGAGGGTGGCCACCTCCGGAGATATATCGGGACCGCGAGCGATTCGATCCCCGTCTCCGTCGGACAAGTGCGCGCGAGGCACGACGCAATTCGCGGTCACACTGCGGCCGGAGAAACGGAGGGGACGGCACGCTCGTACTTCCGGTCTCGTGCAAAGGCACACTCTATCTTCGCGTGGCCGGGAATTTCGCGTGGTAGCGCGGAGGGCTTTAGCGGCCGAGCGCGCTTCGCGGGCGTATTCATATCGATTCCCAACCCCTCGGAGGGTCACCGGGGAGCCGAGTAGGGGTGGGTAGGTTGAAGTGGAACGGCGGACGGGAGGATGAGACGAGACCGCGAAAGGGTGAGGGAGAGGATGGCTCCGTGAAAACCGGTGCTCACCTTCGCGCGAAAATCAATATGGCGCGGGCAATTCGAGTGACAACCGCGTTGGATAAAATTCGAATAAATTTAATTTCCTTATCGATCATCTTTTGCCTCGATAATTGAGATTTTTTTTTAATTCTGAAATGCTCTCTCCTAGCGAAACGCGGTTACGTGATAATGATGATAATAATGATTACGATTAGTTTAGGACGTATCAGTTGGTTCTGTCAAGATGGCCGATCTGTCAATACGATCTAATATGTATAATCGCAAATAATCATTTTTATCTCCTTTGGGAATATAAGATTGAAAATTAATAATTATAATATAGAGGAATAAAGAAAGTATTAAAATAATTATTGTAAAATTTTTATTATGAAAAATTCAATAATGTTTTATTTGATAATTATACTAGACTGATGAACAAGCTATCATCTTTAAACATTTCTTATTCCCTTTCCGCTGTCAAGTGTACGTCTTGTTAGAATGAAGGTTGTCGTCCATCCAGTGATATTTTTCATCGCGAGAAATATACCTACCTTGAAGCGTAACAGGAGAGAAGAGGAGAGAGCGTGCATATAACTCGTGCCATTGTGCGCATGTGCGAGGTTTGCCCCGCTATCTCGCTTTTCTTTCGAGACATCTATCTTCCGATGCTCCGGGCCGAAGATGTCGGTTGGTTGACAGTTTGGTTGACAGCACGTGTTATTTTGTTTTCGATGCGACGCGATGGCTACGCAACGTGCGCTTCCTCAGAGTAAAGAGGCGTTATTGAAGTCGTACATGACGAGATTGAAGGACGATGTGAAGTCGATGCTGGATAATTTCGAAGGTATTCTCTAACCTGTATCCTAACCTCGTCGTTCGTATGTGTCTTCGCTTGGAATAATCAAGCTTTTTCTAGCATGAATCCTACAAACTCTCTACAGTTTTTCTCTATTTTTTCATTTTTAATTTCTCTCTAATTTAATTGCACATCAATTTTAATTGCAGAAAATATAATATAGTGCCATTATGAGAAACGAACCGGTTATATTGCTCTTTGATTATTTCAATTCCATGTCCAATTATTAGGATTTTCATTCTTTGAAGAATGCAGCGATGCTACCTGTTTAACTCATTAGCTTGGGATTTGATTTTGTTTTTTAAAAAAATATTTAATCCCTTATAAGACTTTATGTAAGATTAAAAATATGGTTGCGATTTTATGCTCCACAAGTAATTGCTTTATTATCAAGTTACTTGGATCCTAATAATATCAGTTATAATTTCTTAAAAATATTTTACGTCCTTAGATAATACATAAATTTTAACAGTCTATTCGATTCATTTTTATATTCTTCCGAGTTAATAAATATAATATAATATTTAGATGTTAAAAGTTACATAAAACAGTAAAATATATCAGTGTTAGGCGCTTAACATTATTTAATAATCATATATAATAAATATAACTTCATATGTGTATTAAAATTGGAAAGAGATTATTAATTAAATCTGAAAATTATACTACTTTTATGATTCGAAATATCCATGTTATTAATTTAATATTATTTATTTCCAGAGATAATTAAACTTGCAAAAGGTGAAAATGATTCTCAATTATCTCGAATGACGCAATGTGAACAGGACACATATGAAATGCATGTCAGAGCAGCCAATATTGTGCGTGCCGGCGAATCATTAATGAAATTAGTCTCTGACATAAAGCAATATTTAATATTAAATGATTTTCCCTCTGTAAATGAAGCTATAATACAAAATGGTAAATTATTCAGGACTAAACAAGTAGAATGTGATCAAAAATTGGCCTCCTTGAGGGATGACATGGCTACGGATTTATATGATCTGGAAGAAGAATATTATACTTCGATATACAAATAATACTAATTTAAATTTAGCATTAGTTTGACATTAGTTTAAGTTTAATTTAAATCCTAGTCCTGTAATATATGTGAGTTTCTTTTTTAATCCCGATCATAAACTGATTCATCTTGTACATTGTTCATTTATTTATAAATAAATAGGATTAATTTTTATAACGCTTTACCTTTTAATTCTGCGAAAATTCATAGATGAAAATCCTAAATAAGAAATAAGGAGTAATTGTCTCTTTTATTACTTCGATATCTTGTAACACATAGACAATACATCACACGATACTTTTACATATTTAAGAAGGTAATAATATAGATCCAAGCTTTAGTTATTAATAGTCACTTCACAATCGCTTTCACTTATTGTTTACTCGAAACGTACTTCGCGTTTCTGTACAAGAGTAATTTACAAAACTGTTACACAGCTCTTCTATATGAGAGCAAGGAGATTACAATTGACTATTAACGCGGATAATTGACAAAATAAAAAAAAAAAAACAAAGGATAGATCTATACACACATTTTTAATTGGAATGTTGCACAAAGGTAATCTCACTTGCTTCTTACAATGTTTATATAGCGATGAGATATAAAGAGTATCCACGACTTTTTGGGTCTGATGAATAATTGAAAATTTGTTTTACACTAGAAAAAAATTAACAAAAATATCACAGTGTAAGACATAACGCTGTGACACAAGAACAAGTCTTTCAAACAATGCGATACATCACAAAGTATTCGGTGAACTGGTACAGCATCTAAATAAGGTAAATACATTTGAAATTCTAACAAAACGCGGCAGCAGTTTGTTTTTAGTGCACCTTCGCGATAAATTATCATTTTATCGCGCTCTCTCGCTTGAATCAGTCCACTGTCCAGATAATAAAATCATATTAACTACATATATTGTTGCAATCATACATTATTAAATACCTACACCTACACAATCCAAAACAATGTTTTCGATTATCCGTGGTAACGCATCTAAAATGCTACATAGACAATAGAAGATATTAACAATAAAAAAAAAAAAAAAAAAAAAAAAAAAAAAATAAGGAACAAAAAGTAAATAACAAGAAAGCTGATTTTAAAGCGATGAATTTTTTTTTCGAACTTTCGTGACTCAATTAACTTGGATCTCGGATGGCTCTGCAAGATCCATAATAATTTAGTATATACAAAATTCAATTTGCTTAAAATTAATAACTAATATTAAACTCGCTGTTTTCCTCTTATGCTGGAAAGCTATTAGTTTTATGTATTATGATTCTTGGAAATTAAATGCAAACTCAATATGAAAAGACGCATACACTGTTAATGGCTTATTTTCGCATTTGCAAGGCATAGTATGATTTGCCATACATTCGGTACAAATGACGATGTGCTCTGAAATTTACAATTCTTACAGTTTCGTCGAACTGGAACACTTATATATATTGTACATATACATTATTAAATATAACTAAGTAGACTTATGTTCTACTTTGGCAAAAACGTTTACAAATCTAAACTCGAGCTGTTTATCCTGAACTTTTTTTCCTTCACCAATTGAATCTCAAAGACATTCAATCACTTGCTCCCTTTTTTTCTACAAAAAAACTCACATAAAACTCTGGCCTTTTACTGGCAGCTTGAACACGCACAGCTTAGCATTAAAGTAATCTCAAAAAGGTTACAAAATTCACGATTCTCTCGTCGATTTATCCTCTATCTTATAAATATGCCAGAAAAATGATATGCTCCTTTTATCTTTCTTTCTCTAAGCAATAGAGTATCAGTCGCTGGACTCTTCCTTTCAAGTGCTATTACAAAAAAAGCAGCACTGTATAATCTATCTTGGCAGTTTCGAGATGATTCATCGTGTAGAAAAAGTCCACTGATTCGATATAGCATAACGATACAAAGTAAATGCATATACTTGGAATGATACTGTTAGTTCTTACTTAATCATCTAAATAAACTTCGCTTTCGATGCGTTCGTGAGCGGAGAAATGTACTTTTGATTTCTTTCAAAAAAGATTTTTCTTAATTTAATTGCAAATATGTGCACTTGACGATAATTCATCTGTGGTCCAACATAACGTCCGATCACAAACGCGAACATTTAAACCTGTTTTCTATGAAAAATTCGCTTTACATAGATGTGTGAGCATTTGTCATAAACCTTCCTTCATTAAAATTCGTTATAATATATTGATTTTTTTTTTTTGAGTTTGTAGTCTCTTGCTTGATTATCTCGCTAGAAAAAGAAAAGGAATACTTGTTAGCCTTATAGACTTCATTCTCGTTTCGTTCATTCGTTCGTTCTATTGCTACAGAAGGACATTGAGCTGTCAACGGTAAAGAGTCATTCTGCACTTCTTTTCAATAAAGAAGATCGCCGGTCGTCTCCGAGCCCCACGCACCTGCGTCCTGGGCCGGTCTCAAGTATTCCACTTCGCTCGCATTTTCGGTTTGGCCGGTTGTTGTTGTCGTTGCTGAAGCGGGGACTACCATCGGTACGGCTCTGGTAATACCCAGCTCGAAACCTTCCGACGTCAGATCCACTTTGCTAGGAGTATAACTGGCTAAACCACCTCCACCTGCGGATAACAAGTAGCAGCACGAATTTATTCATTTTGCACCTATTTAATTTCCATTTAAATAAATTATTCTGAATATGAAAAATATATGCAAAAACGTTTCTCATAATATAACTTCAATTTTCATTGTTAGTTTTAATTATTTTATAAATGATTTTAAGATGCCAACCTGCCAAGTGGCGAATGGTGAACTCAAGTTTGATCTTACCGAGAAGGGACGGCATACTCGTCGTTGACGAGCTGGTTGTCGAGGAGATTTTGTTGTTGCTCGGCGTGGAATGCGGCTCGCCGGCGACGGATCCGGAACCGGAAGTCTCGCCGTCCACGCTGCTGGTCTCGCCTTCGAGGATCGACGCCTCGCTGGGGTACTCGAAGGTGCGAGTGGCGGTGTCGTCGAACTGTATTCGATGCTGAAAAACGCGTTGGTCTAATTAATTCGTGCCGCCGTTAAAACAAACGTTAATATATACGATACAATTTGCATGGAAAGTATCGCGCGCGTATTCGCGGCGATAAATTAATTTATGCGCGCGCGTGCGCGCGCGCGCGCGGGGCATGGAGGATCGCCGCAGGTGTATCTGTGTGTCTGTGAGTATTCGCATATGTAAACACGTGTTATGCAGACGGCGCCGGCGATTTACGTTCCGCCTTTTGCGGAACAGTTATACGCGGAAAAATTTTGCGAGGTGCGCTTCATGTAATAAGCGCCGCCGCCGCCGCCGCCGCCGCCGCCGCTGCCGCCGCGTGCGCGGTACAAATGAGATACGGAGAACAAACAACGGCAATCGCATGTAATGTAACCTCGAATAACAGTAACCGGTCACACTCGATGCTTTTTCGACCTGCGAGCAGTTCGTTCGTCCGTCCGTCCGTCCGTCCGTCCGTCCGTCGGTCGTTGTCGTTGTCCTCTTTGTATAACGTGCCGAAACGTCAAGAGAGAAAGCGCCTTTTTTTCTCTTTGCAAATGATTGAAGGTTACTTCATTAATATGCGACGAGAGCTTTAGAAGACGATGCTCGCTTTCAGTGAGCTTTGATTAGATATATCCTTTCATAAAAAATTTTATCTCATTTCATTTCGATATCATTAGGATCACAGCTTGAAATTGGATTTCCTGAAGAAGAGTAGAATACAAAATTTTTGTAAATGCTTTTTGAGAATTATTTTAAAATAATGTATTTATTTATTTTTTATGCTGTTTATTATTTAAATAATTAATTGCGCAATATGTCGCTTTTTGTCGAGTATAATACATGTTTGAGGAAAGTGTACGTTTAAAATATTTTTGGGAATTATTTTTTTTAATTTTTGTTACATAATAATGTACAATATTCGGATCGTCCAGATTCCACGAATATTTTTCTTGGACGTGATTTAATATAAAGCGAAGATTTGCATTAATCCTGGCTACGTCAGTCTGGCGATAACAGTACCGGCGATTATTTCAACTAGGGGTTGACTGCTCGCCTCGTGTAATTATATGCACCGTTCTCTTTTTCTCTTTTCCCGAGGCATCGTCAGATTCAAGATAAAAAGATCAAATAGATAGATCGATCTTAGACATCTTAGACTAGTTACGCTTCCTCGAGATATGCGATCCTGAATTCCTTCGACTCACGAGAAAAGTTCGGCAAGTGTAAAATAAAAAAAAATGAAACTTGAAGTTCATTTCGCATCGAATTATTTAATTACAAAAATATTTTTTTTTGTATAAAAATAAATGGAGGTATTTTGAAAAATTTAATACTTTGGAAAAATCTAATCATCATGCGTTTAATCAAAGTGTTTATGAAATCATGGAACTTTTTTTTTTCGAAATCTTCTCTCATATTCCTTATTGTTTTGGACACATTCGCTGAGAAACGTAGATTGATTTTTTTTTTCAAAAAGATGTTTCCATCCCTAAAACCATATATCAACAAAAAATTTTGTGATTAGGTCCATCTACTCTATACTTTTGCAAAGTTTCAGATTTTTATACCTGCCGAACCTTCCTTCGTTAATCTCGCGCGCTTGTGACCCGATTAAATTGCCACTCTCACATCGTTCTTCTTCCTTGTCTTTTTCATGTTAGTGTCAAAAGATCCCAAAAATAAACGAGCATGGCAGAGATACGCGACAAGTCGCTCTAAGTCGTTCCACCGCGCTTTCTAAAAACGCTCCACTTTTCCGGGGTACTCCTCGTGCTTCACGTCGCGAATTGCAATTAGCATTTTCTCACCGAGCGAGTGAATGCGACAATCATGGACCGTTCCGGCTAGCTGGTTAAGTGGCATTAACAGCAAAACTTGAGGAATGAACGCGGGACTTTCCACAGTCATCTTCGGAGAGCCCCCCCCCCCCACCACCACCCCTCCGTTCTCCTGTGTGACGAGCGAAATTAAATACGCTTCAATGCTTCGATTAGATCCACCTCGTCAGATTCGTGTCTTCTATCGATCGTAGAAATTGATGTCGGTGTTGTTAAAAATAATAACTGATCATCTCGACCGCTCGATAAAGCTGATAATGAAAGAGACAAGTGCGGTAAGTGTCCGCGATGATAATCACATCGCGTGTATATTTATTTATACAGAATATATACAGAGAGAAACATGTTGGTTTTTCTTCGTGTATGCCACCGTATGTATCTAATCTAATAAGATAACACATTTTGATTAAGTAATCTCTTTAAGATTTTAAGATGAAATCAAATGTTGATTTCAATACATTTTAATTATGTGGTTCACCATTAGGCGATTACACACGACTCATTGTCATGTACCTTAATTATGTGATTTGTTGTTATATGTCGTAATTATGTGACTGTGTTTCGAATTCCTATAATTAATCCTGAGTCATCGGAAGTAAAATCCTTGAGGTTAATTAATTGGATACTTTTAATTGGTACTTTAAATTGAGTGTGATTATCAATTTCTCTATCACATTTTGTACGAATTAATCACGAATATTGGCGAAGATGTACGTATAAGATTTTAGATTTTAGAGATTTGAAGATTAAAATAACAAAGGAGAATATTAAAAAAAAAAATAAAAATTTATAACTTTGTGTTTCAGTGATTCAATTTTTTAATAAGGGAAATTTACGTGTTATATTTTTTTAGACTTTAAATAAATTATAAATTTTCGAACGTATATCATTACATTTTTAAAAGAAATTAATATAATTATGTGCCTTATAAGATGCAGAAATAAGAATAAATTTAGTAATTAGTAACTGGTGAATGGTGGATATTGACTTGTTATCATTTCACAGGTAACTTAATGAACAGGATGAAAATCACTATCTTGAAGCAACATAATTTTATGTATCAAGAATTTTTTATTAGCAATATTGTCGTAAAAAAATGTTGTGCTTTTTCAATGATGCTGTAAGAAAAGCCCGGAGTGTTTTTGTGTTACTGTTTGTTTTCTCTTCCAATTTGCGATCGACGATCGCAGATGTCTTTTCAATCGTGAGAAAACGCCCAGGAAAAATGGAAACGAAGACAACAGGAAGACTTTCTTCTCGGTGAGGAAATATTGCCCATAAAACATGGCGTAACAACTAGTGAGATGCAAATATCAAAATGGAAAGTCTCTCGACGTATATTGGCAGCAACGCACGGAAAAGAACAAGTTTAATTGAAAATAATGCAACGATTAACAGAAAAAAATATATATGTATTCTTAGATTCAAGGCTATAATATTTTTCATCATATTGTAATATTTTTCATATTTTTGTATCATTTATATATATATATATATATATATATATATATGCA